CCCAGGGAAGCAGTTTTATTTTATTTCTATATTTAAAATTTTTTATTTATAGATGGGGGGGGGAACCTCGATGTGTTGTTCCACTTATTGATGCATTCATTCTTTGCTTCTTGTATGTCCCCTGCCCGGGGATCGAACCTGGAACCTTGGCGTATGGGGACTGAGCTCTAACCAGCTGAGCTCCCCGGCCAGGGCGACATGAGGTGAGTCTTTTACTCCGTGATCAGCACAGTGCTCCGGGAAACATGTGCCGAATGAATGGGTGGGTGAATAAATGAATGAAAAGGCCTCCTGCCCCCTCCAATCTGGCTGACTCCTGCTCAGCCATCCGTTCTCTGGGGAACCTGGGCGCCCCTCCCGTCTGCACTGTACTGGGGGGGAGGGGGAGGCGGGTATAGGCGCTGCCTGGCCCGTAGTCCCTATAACCAGGAAGTCCTTGAGGGCAGGGCCTACTTGGCTTCATCCTCGGAGGCGTCCCCATGCCTGGCGCCTGCAAAACAGTACCAACGGGAGCAAAAGAATGAAAGCTGCTCTGTCCCCAGGTCTGGTCAGTATGGGGGAGGGGGGAGTGGGGGTGGGCAGGGACAGGAGGGAGCCCATCGCTTCCTCATTCTACTCCAGGCCCTGCCGTGCAGTTCCAGGTAGTTCTGATTTCTTCCTTCCTCCCCCACTTTGTGGGGAAAGACGGGAGGCACCTGCAGCCCCACATGGCGGGGCGGGGCGGGGAGGAGGCAGGGAGGCGAGAAGGTTCAAGGCAGGGCTTTTCTGCCCCGCCGCCTGCTGGCACACGGGCTGCCCTGGCCTCGTGGCGGTAGAGTGTTCCACAAATATTTGCAGAAAGGTTTAAAAGTCTGCTCCCTCCAACTCGCCATCCCCCGTGCCAACCTCCGCACCAGCCCGTTCCGCTGACACCGCAGGATCAGAGGCCAGGGCCCCGGCAGCCTTTGATCTCCAGGTCAACACCCTTGTGGCGGCCCAGGCTAGAGGTCAAGGGCAAACAGCCCTGAGGAGGCCCCACGTGCACATGGCGGATTGGTCGCTGAAGTGCATTCACTCAAGAACTGGGCCGAGCACCCAGGCTCTGGACTCCCCGTCCAGTGCTCCTGTCTGTGTCTGGAGCTGCTTCCCGGATGAATCCCAACCCCAGGGCCCCGACTCCCATGCCTGGAACCCTCAGCCTCTGTTCTGAGCTCTCTGGGCTCAGGCTTTCAGCTGTTCACACCTCCTCGCCCGGCCAGGTGCACTCGGAAAGCACAACCATCCCTGAGCTGCCAGGTGGCGGGGCCGGATCTCATCGCAGGCTGGCTGCCCCCCGAGGCTGAGCTCTCCTTGTCGGGCCAGGCTGTTGCTTGATAGACTCCACTATCACCCACAGTGTCAGTGTCAAGGTCAGGAGACACAGGCTACTGGGGGGCAGGGGTCACGCTGGGTTGGGTAGATCAGGGAGAGGTTCCTGGAAACAGCATTGGATCAGGGCTTTGCGGGCCAGGGAGGATCTAGCACAGTGGTTCTCAACCTTCTGGCCCTTTCAATACAGTTCCCCATGTTGTGACCCAATCATAAAATTATTTTCGTGGCTACTTCATAACTGTCATGTTGCTTCTGTTATGAGTCGTCATGTCAATATCTGATGTGCAGGATGGTCTTAGGCGACCCCTGTGAAAGGGTCGTTTGACCGCCAAAGGGTCACGACCCACAGGTTGAGAACCGCTGAGGAGGAAATGGGTGAGGGGCAGCAGGGCGCTTCTCACACTGAAATGAATGTGTGTGTGTGTGTGAGTGAAGGGAAATGAGAGGCAGTCGAGGCCACAAGGGATATGGGTAGGTCCTGAATGCGAGTCAAGGAACTAGGGAGCCATGGCAGATTCTTGAGCAGGGGGAGCAACACACCTAGCAGGGAGGCCGAGTTGCTGGGCAGGGGTTGGGGGGATAAAGAAAGGGTGAGGCCGGAGAGGAGGGACTCTCTCTCTTAGTAACCAGCCCGGAGGAGTTTACCAGATGATTACTCCAGGATTTATATGATTAGATTAAGTAGCTGCTCCCTAGTGGGCGGGCGATAGATAAATTTCAGTGGAGGAAGGAGAAGGGAGCCACAGCACCTGGGGAGGGAAGAGGAGGAAGGGTAACTTGGGCCTTTATCACGGATAACTCCAAACTCCTGGGGGCAGGGGTGTGAAGGGGGAGGTTGGAGCTGATTTCTGCAGGGTGAATGTTTTCCCTGTGCATTCCTTCCGGAGCAGCCTCTGCAGGCAGCTCCCAGGTGAATCCGTCCCCTGGCCCATGGGCACCTGGCAACCTATGGTCTAGAAACCTGGAACTTGGATTACCAACTCTGCACACACTCTTACCCGCAGGTTCCTCAATAGATCGCCTGACCTTCCTAACTCGGGGGGTCCCCAAGGGCTTAAATGAACAGCTAGACCTGAAAAGGCCTCGTAAACTGTGAAGTGCTGAAACCACATACGGGTCTTTCTTCTATTTCCCTTTGACACTGAAATGAACATCTTGCCCCTGGAAGGGCCGTAGGCACAGGTCCCGGCCACATATCCAGCAAGAAAGGCAGCCAGGCCCTGCCCTAAGCCAAAAGCTGATGATTCCTTTATGTATTTATTTATATATAAGTTTTTTTAAATTGGCTTCAGAGAGGAAGGGAGAGGGAGAGCGAGAGAAACATCCATGATGAGAGAGAACCATCGATCAGCTGCCTCCTCAACACCCCACACTGGGGATTGAGCCTGCACCCTGGGTCTGTGCTCTTGACCGGGAATGGAACCGTGACCTGCTGGTTCATAGGCCGATGCCCAACCACTGAGCCACACCAGCCGGGCCAGCATGCATTTATTTAACAGCCTAGAAGTGTGCTGGATGCTCTGCCGGGGGTAGCGGGCTTGTGGGGGTTCAGAGGTGAGTAGATCAGGGCCCGAGACCCCGGGACCTGATGGTCTAGCACAGTGGTCAGCAAACCCATTAGTCAACAGAGCCAAATATCAACAGTACAACGACTGAAATTTCTTTTGAGAGCCACATGTTTTAAACTTAAACTAGATAGGTAGGTACATTGTTATTAGCTTCATTAGGGTACTCCTAAGCTGGCCTTTGCTAAAAACGTCCTCCATCTGAGGGGTCGACCTCAGCAAACGTACCCCCACTTCTTCTAACACCATGTCTTCAAAATAGACTCGCCCAGGCCAAAAACCAACTTCTACGCATGGTTTCAATTGCTCTGTACATGCACGCCTGCATGTGGTATTTTGTGGAAGAGCCACACTCAAGGGGCCAAAGAGCCGCATGTGGCTCGGGAGCCGCGGTTTGCCGACCACTGGTCTAGCAGGGTGATGGCTGTAAGCAGGGCCACTGCAAGGTTCTGACGGACCCCCCTGCCACCTCCTCTCCCCGCCTCTCTGGTTCTGGCCACGTTTCCCACCAACCACCACAACTTTGCTCACGCCTTTGCGTCCCCATGGAATGAAAGGAACGTTCTATTTTCTTCCCGCCCCACATTTGCAGTCCTGCTCCAATGCCACTCCTTCCTGAAGCTCCCGAGGATTCTTCCAATCCCAAACGAATGGTCCCTCTCTCAGGCTCCGTCCCGGTCACCTGCCACCTCCTCTCCTTGGGACATCCATCTGGCCCTGGCATTGTAGGTGATGGTGCGTGTGTGCCTTCTCTCTGGAAGGGCAGGCTGGTATCTGGTTCATTCATTGACCCCAGAACAGTGCCTGGGGCCTGGTACACAGTGGGAGGAAAGAATGGCCTGAGGCATGTGGCGTAGGTAGGTAGGAGGGGAGAGCTGTGGGTTCTGAGAGGAGGAAACGGGTTCATTCTCTGGGGGAAGGGCTGTACTGGGGTACGGCAGGACAGTCAGGCCTGTAGCTGCACACAAGAACCCCCAGCTCCAACCCCTGGGTGTAAGGAGGGAAGGGGGTGAGGCAGCAGGTAAGCTGACAGCAAGCCTAATTTCACTGGGTCATGACTAACATTTTTTAAAATTTATTTTAAATTGATTTCAGAGAAGAAGGGAGAGGGAGGGAGAGATAGAAACATCCATGATGAGACAGAATCATGGATCGGCTGCCTCCTGCACACCCCGCACTGGAGATCGAGCCCGCAACCTGGGCATGTGCCCCCACCGGGAATCGAGCCCTGACCTCCTGGGCCATAGGTCAACGCTCAGCCACTGAGCCACAACGGTGGGCCGGGCTGTCCATGACTTTCTTCCTTCTTGTCCACCCTGCACCCCCACCCTGGAGGTGGAAACCTGGCCAGGCAGGCAGCAGGGCAGCCCAGGGAGTGGTCCCAGGGGGAGCCCTGGGTTGGGTCCTGCCCTTACCTCCCTTTACCCTCTCCTGCTGTCCGGAAGCCCAGATCATCTGCCTCCGCTGAGTGAATGGAGAAGCTTGGATTCAGAGGTGACGCGGCTAGCTGACTAAGTAAGCCTGGTCGACGTGGAGGATTTAGAACTCACACTCGGCCTTGGCAGCGTTCTCACGCCGACGGAGGGTGCGAGCAACTGAGGAGCAGCTCTCAACGTGCCGGGAAGGTCAGATCCCAAAGGACAGGGCCCTGGGTGGGAAGAGCAACCAAGACCAGGGACTTCCTTGCCCCCTCGGCCTGTCTGACCCGCAGGAGGAGTAAGGCTGTCCATGCCAACAGGCCCTAAGCTGGATTGGCCGTCATCGTTGTCCAAAACCCAGGGCAGAACAGAAGAGGGCGAGGGCCCCAGAGAGACGGCCCATGAATACCACCGTTCCCAGAGTCAGGGTGATGGCCAGGCTTAGGGGACCTGATCCCCCGGCCCACCCCCTCCCCTAGTGGCACGCCAGGCAAGCTCCCTGCGTCTGGGGGACAGGGGTCCCGTGCTATGGGGCTCTGATCTTGGAAGAGCCCATTAGACAGGACTCAGGTGGGGAAACTGAGGCCCAGGGAGCTCAGGTGTCTCCCCCATGGCCACACTGTGAGCTTGAGATAATTCTGGGGCTGCAATCCAGACTTCCTGCTCTTC